CCCCATGTATTGATTTTTAATTGTGATAAAATATCTCTTCTTAATCATTTTTAGTCTGCAGTTGGGTGGCATTAAGCACATTGACTCGATGTGTCACCATCACCACCATCCATTGCCAGAACTCTTTCTCACATTATAAAAAAACTGAAACTTTGCCTCCATTAAATAAACTTTGCCTCCATTAAATAAACTTTGCTCCCCATTCTCTCTTTCCCTGGCCACCTCTATTCTACTAAAATTTCTATAAATTTTGTATTCTAGGTACCTCTTATAAGTGGTATTTTACAGTATTTTCTTTTTGTGACAGGCTTATTTTATCAGCTTAATGTCCTTGAGTCTTAATCACGTTGTGCCTAATGTATCAAAATTCTCTCCTTTTAAGGCAAAATGATATTCCACTGTATGGCTATACAGCACTTTGTTTATCTGCCCATCTGTTGATGCGCACTTGTGTTGCTTTTGACTATTGTGAATAATGCTGTTGTGAACATTGCTGCAAATATCTCTTCAAGACCCTGCTTTCAATTATTGTGGCTACATACCAGAAGTGGAATTGCTGGATCTTGCCGTACTTCTCTTGTTGTGTTAATAATAGTATTACAGTGGTAGGGATTGAATCCAGGGCTTTGTGTGTGCTAGGAAGTACTCTACCACTGAAGTATATCCCTGGCCCTTGTTTTTAATTTTTTGAGGAACTCCTACATTGTTATTCATACCTATTGTATCATAAAAATATATCAGCATAGTTTTAATTATTTTTATAAAGCCCAGTTTTTGATGATTGCTTAGTAGTAGTCTGTCATATAGTTGTGAAAATACAAAGTTGAATGTCAGTAGTTTTTGATATTTATATCAAAATATTTATATAAACTTACAAGTTTATAAATCTTTGTGCTCATTGTTTAAGTTTACTTGGGATAAAATATTGAATATGGACTTGCCAGGTTTAAATAGTTTTCAGTGTTTTTGACCCATGTTGCCAGATTACCCTCCAGAAAGTTCTACCAACTTACCCTCTCATCAGCAGTGGTTGAAATTACTGGTTTCTATTCCACCCTGGCATGTGTTGAATTTTATTTATTTAAAAAAATCTTYTTTATGGCCTATTTGATAATTTGCCAGATTTGCCTCTGCTTCTTTTTGGTCAGAGTTTTTAAAATGATACACATTCAGACATTTTATCCTAGCTTCTTCAGCACATATTGAAAAAAGGACATTTTCTTATATAACTACCATACTGTTATCACACCTAGTGGTATTGACATGAATTCCTTATTTTATGTAATACCCAGTTACATTCAATCATTCTTTGTCTCAAAAACATCATTTTTGCCTTTTTCTTGACCCTGGGCTTAGACAAGCTCACTGACTGCATTTGGTTGTTAGTCTCTGAATCCCCTTCACTTCCACCCCTCTCTTATGCCAGGATTTGTTGAAGGATATTGAATGTTTTAAAAGTGTGTTTATTGCCCTATTAATGTCCTTTGCTCGTTTTTATATTCAAGTGTGCATTTTTCTCTCTTGGTTTTGAAAGAGGTCTTTATATATTAAGCCTATTATTCTTTGTCTTGGAATCTGTAAATTTTTTTCCCCAGTTTTTCATTTGCATTTTAACTTTGAAGTATTTTTTTCTTTTTTCCATACAGATGTTTTAAACCTTATATTTTCATCATTATCTTTTATGCTTTGAAAGGTGTTCCCCATTCTGAGTTCAGCTAAATAGTTTTCTCTGTGATTTTATTCATTCACATTTAATTCTTCACCCAAACGAATTTAGTTTTTAGTATGGTGTGATGAGAGATCCCATTTGATTTCTTCCTTAATAGCTAACTATTTTTTAGCACTAATTATTAAATAATCCATCTATCACTCCCAATGATGTGGGTTTCTACTTTCAGCATATATATTGGGCCTGTTTAGAGACTTTCCATTTCATCCATTGTTTTGTTAGCCTTTCCAAATCATGCTCTACAAGATTATGTTTTAATATCTGACAGTTCAAGTTTCTCTCTCTCTCTCTCTCTTTTTTTCCCCTCAAATCTTCTTGCCTTTTTTCTTTATATGCATGACATTCTCACATTATTTAATTTGTTTTGGCATGTTCTCCCCTTTTCATACCTGCCTCCAATTCCTTGGGATTTTATTCGAATCCTTTCATTATATTATAAAGTTAATTTAATGGAGAATTTTCATACTGAACCTTTCTACTCAGGAACATAGAATGTTTCTAAATTCGTTCAAATAGATTTGAAGTTTATCTTTGTTTTGTTTACTTTTAGTGTTAAGAATTGAGTCCAGAGTCTTGTACATACTAGGCAAGTTCTTTCCCACTGAACTACATCCCCCAGCCCTATGTTCTGTTTTAATTTTGAGAAAGCTTTGGTATTATTTTCAGTGAGATCTTTTCTTGTTGGGTCTTCTGACTTAATATCGCTGCTAGGTGGCTATTAGTTTCTGCATTTTCTTGTTATTACTCTGCCAGTGGTATTGGCTAATACAAGTTTTCATAAATTTTCTTTGGAGCTTTCTCAGTAGACATTTATATGGGTCTGAGACTGATACTTTTACTTGTCCTTCATAATAATTATGCTTCTCTTTCTTGTTAGTTGCTTTGTATGTGACCTTGTGTTTTGGTGGTAACTGGAGCAATGCCTCTAGTCACTCATCTCTAAGTGGAAGATTGGGTGTCAGTAACCTTTTTACTTTATTAATTATTGCTTTTTTTTTCTTTTTTTAATCAGAGAGGGTGTTGAATTTTTATCAGGTGTCTTTTAAGGAACCATTCATTGGGGTGATTGCATGATTTTTCTTCTTTAATTTGCTATAGTAATTTCTTAATTTTTTAATCTTAATTTCTAACAGTCTTAGAATTTCTAGAACTTATCCAATTTCTCAAGGTAGATTATTCCTTGACATTTTTATTAGAATCATTTATTAAAATTTTATTTGGAGGTTTTCCACCTCCGTTTATCCCTGAGATTTCTCCATAGCTTTGCTCTATTTTTGTCAACCTTGGGCTCAAGGCTAAGCTAGTTTTATGAAATAAATTGAAGCACTTTCCAAYTTCAGGGGCAGACTGCGTAGCCTGGGAGTTATCTGTTCCATGAGTGCAGGAAAGAGCTTGACTGGGAAACCAACGAGGTCTGGCATCTTCCTTGAAGTCATTCTTTGATGACTTTTTCAGTTTTTTTCCACCCATAATTATTGGTTTGTTCA